AAAGGGACACAAAGACATGAATATCCATGCTTCACATCATCACAACTCTACGCTGCTTCAAGCACCAGTCAACAACAATCATCACAGATTTATCTCCATAGATGCAAACTGGCACAAGTTTGGCTTGTCTGGGCGAGCATTAGAAAGTGTATCATTTTGTGTGTGTGTGTGGTTTTTTAAAATAAGCTTAAAGACTAGGAAAGTTATATAATATATATTATTCTTAAGAAGTCTGATGTATCCTCTGCCTTTTGTTTTTAAATGTGCCTTATTAAGCTATACGTGCTTGCATTTTTAGAATGTAATTGAAAAGTTCTCATTGTTCTTTTTTTTACTCCTAAAAGATATGCTCCTGTATTTTAGATAGATTTCTGCTTAAATGTTTGTGCCTACAGTTTTCTGCATAACTCATAAGACTTTGTATTTTACAAGAACTCCAAAGTATTTCATGCATAAAGAACATAGATGCCAGGCATATAAGGCTTTTAGAAATAGACATGAGGATGTTGCTTTAATTATTGCAACTGTGAAAAGATCTATACAGTACTCTGATACTCAGATGAATTTTGATATGATTGGAAATGATTGTCTGGTTTCATACTGGAATTAAACCCTTCTTGGGATATATGCCAGCTGTGATGAGCACAGGCTTCTGATTTTTCCTGGAAGGTTATAAAGTTTGGGAGGACTCTTGTGGAGATGTTCGGGGATCAGGCTGACACTTCAGCCCCTTGGAGATGAGAGGACTGGTCTCCTGCCAGGAGGTGGGCCCTGGCCTCCAACCATGTGTGGGTCTTCTCCACTTTTGAGAAGGGAATTCCCTCGGCTCCTGCTGAAGGACTCAGGTCCTCTCCCAACCTTGGGTGTGTATGTTCACATGAGGAGGGAGTGCGCACACAAGGGTACACCCACCCACACCGACACACATACCAGTTTGTCTCCTGTTAAGGAAGGGAACTGAAGGAAAGAAGCAGAAAGGACTCCAGGAGGATGACAAGGAAATAATTTATTTCCAGGCCTGAGAAAGACCTTGTGAAAATACCAAAGTGAGCAACTCTGCCGGCTCAGAAACCAAAGCACAGTCGATTCCCCAGCCCTGCCTCTGCCCTCAGTCCTTCCTGAGGCTGCCAGCTCCTCCCTGAAGGGCTGTGGGGCAGGGGGTTCTGGGGCAGGGTGGCTGCCCCTATTTACAGGAGTGGGGGGCAGCAATTCGGGGGGGGACGTACTTGCCAGTGGCAGAGGCGGGAGGCCAGGGTCAGCAGTATGGCTGCTCGATGGGGAGGGGTGATGCGTGGATGCCGGTGTGTGTGTGTGTGTGTGGGAGTGTCAGATTATACATACCCTGTTTGGCCCGTTGCCTGTGAGGTTGCTGGTGTCCCAGCTGGGGAGGGGCTGGGTGGGCAAGCCCAGAAACTTTCCTGAGGAGGAAGAGAAGGAGCTGTCCCTGTTCCTGCCTCGAGCCTCTGTGTGTGTGTGGGGGGGGGATGGGAAGGGGAAGGAGAGAAGCTGCCCAGGTTTCCCTCTGGAAGAGAGGGAGAGTCACAGTGAAGGGCCCGTGGGCTGAAGAGGGGCGGCGGGGGGGGGAGAAGAGTTCCCCAGATCTGCCTCCTCCGAAGATGATGATGCCAGAGCAGTCCAGAGAGACTGGGACAAATCCTGAGAATGGGGCAGCCGGCTGATCAGGGTGCCAGCTGGGCAGGCAAGTGGGGCAGGCAAGGACCACATGGAGGGAAGGGGGGGGGAAACAGTTCACGGGAAGTGGGGCATTCCTTTGGGGCCCAGCTCTCGGGGAGCCTCTTGACCTCTCCAGGCCATCAACACCCCTGGGGGCAGTGGGGCACGGAGAGCCCCAGAGCCTAGCAGCCACCCACCCACTCACTCACTGGACTCTCCCATGTGGCATGTGAGCCCAGGAGGACAAGGAGGGCACGGGGGTGGGGGTGGGGAGAGAGATGCTGGACAACTACACTCCACAAAAGACCCACCCGCCTACCCTGAAAAGGCAAGCCAAGGGCTGGGGCAAAGGTGGGGTGGGTGTGCACGCGCACGAGAGAAATCCCCCTTTCACACAGAGGGTGTGGCCCTGTGAAGAGGGAAAGATGCTGGTGGGCCCAGGACCTCCACCCCCAAACGCGCAGGATGCGGTGCAGGAAACGGAGGCTCTCGCTTCTCATGCGCCCACCCGACCCCAGACACCCACACAGGCTGAAGCCACCTGCCAGCCACAAACAAGCAAACCCCACCTGGCACTTCCGAGATGGAAGGAGCAGGCAGGGCAGAGGGTGGGTGAGTGGGTGGGGGCAGAAGAGAGGGAGGGAGGCCAAGGCCCTGAGGATTGGCCCCTAAGGCGGGGTGGGTGGGGGGGTGGAGGAAGGTTTTGAATCCACAGTGCATGGGGTGAAGCCACCCCTTCCTCTCTGAACTCAGCCGGACCCTTTCAGTTGTTATAGGCCTGTCTGCTTTGATTAGCCAGGCCCGGCAAGGGTCAAGAGAGGAGGTGCTGGCCCAACAGCGAA